TTAGAAAAGTAGGAAGTTACCCCCGCTCCCCCCCCCCCCCTCATTTCATTTCATTTTATTTAATATCGTCTCTTTAAATGAGAGTAGGCCATTGCGCCACTGTCCGAGCATATTCGGACCATTGTTCGTCACACAAATATAATTTATCTCTCAACATACAACATAATAAATGACCACATATTTATTTATAGCACCATATTGTATTTCTAACTAATTTGGGGACCCCTTGAATAATGCGGGCAGCTGGCTGCAGCCCCTGGTCTTTTAGTAGGTGTAAACCCCGTTGACGTTTTTTTAAAGATTTGTTTCCAAACAAGCGGACCTGACTATATACAAAATACGATTCACACCCGTTAATGTCGCTATTTGGGGGGGGGGGGGAGATGTCATTATGTTGACGTAATATATTAATAAATCATAAATTTCTAAGACTGCCCATCTATAAATAAGTGTTTATGATGCCCCTGGACAAATGTTTTGAATTGTTGGGAGGTGGGGTGGGGATAGCAGGTGTGTGTGTGTGGGGGGGGGGGGCATTATGTTGACATAATATATTAATAAAACATAAATTTCTAGGACTGCCCATCTATAAATAAAAGTGTTTATGGTGCCCCTGGACAACTATTTTGATTTGTGGGGAGGTGGGGGTAGCAGGTGTGCGTGTATTGATGGGGGGGGGTACAATTGGCGGGAAGTGAGTTCACGTTGATGATTTTTTTAGAGCTTGTAGGAAACTGAGGTCTCGTGTACATATTGACTTGCACGTAAAACAAACCTTGACAGTTGGAATTTGAAATACGAGTAGGCCGTAGTGCCGCTGTGCGGGCAAAATATCCCTTATAGCACATGACGTATGCCCGCCTTCATTAGCCCAATCGGTGCAGAACAATAGGACATTTAACTCCATTTCATTTCATTTCAATTTTAGATGTGTTTATATGTGATAAAAACCTGTCGTTTACAACATCAACAAGTGCATCGCTAACGCTGCAATATACGTCCACATTCTTGCTTTGATTGATATGGTACTTTTTAAAATGTAGAGAATGAAATATGAAATGGCTGTAATATGACAAGAATGCAAAAAAAAGGCTAGACGTTGTTTTTGTTTAGCCAAATTTTACAGAAAAAAATATTAACAAAAAAGTGGGTGTGACACCGCCCCAGGGGGTCGGGGCATGCACCAAAATAAACAGTTTCTGTCTTTACGGTATAAGGAATAAATATGCAAAGTTCCATGATGATCCATTCAGAATTGCAGCCTGTAGACGATAAATACAAAAAATTGGGCGTGGCTCTGCCCCTGGGGGTTGGATATGGAACAATAAAAATAGGTACCACCCTGTTATTGAAATGATTGATATGCTGAATTGAAACAAAATATGTTAATTATTTCAACCTGTGTTTACAGATAAAAAGTAACAAAAATGTGGGTGCGATACCACATCCCTGGGGGTCGGGACATGCACCAAAATAAATAGTTGCTATCCTTACATATCTCCATAAATATGGCGGGCATGCACCAAAATAATAGGTCAGCCTTAGCGTATAAGGAATAAGTATGAAAAGTTTTCAAGACGATCGATTAAGAATTGCGGCCTGTAAGTGACACACACACAAAATGAAAATGGGCGTGACTCTGCCCCTGTTGGTTGGGCATTCATCACAAACAATAGGGATGTAGACGACAAACAAACAAATACAAGAAATGGGCGTGGCTCTGTCCCTGGGGGTTGGGCATGCACCAAAAACAATATGGATCATCCTTAGGGTATAAGGAATAAATAGGAACATTTTTCAAGAAGATTGATTAAGAATTGTGGCATGTAGGCGACAAACAAAAAGAAAATGGGCGTGGCTCTACCCCTGGGGGGTGGACATACACCACAAACAGTTGGGGTGTACCTTATGCAAATTTTCAAGAAGATACGTTATGAAATGCGGCCTGTAGACGACAAACAAATACAAGAAATGGGCGTGGCCCTGCCCCTGGGGGTCGGGCATCCTCTGGGTATAAGGAATAAGTATGTAAAGTTTTAAGACAATACTTAAGAATTGCGGCCTGTCGGCGACTCACAGACACACATACAGAAAACCCTATTGTTATTATAATAACCTGACCCCTATAATACTTACCCCCCACCCCCACCGCCACCTCCACAACAAGAAAAAGATGACCAGTCCCTGGTCCAAAAATCAAGTAAAACTGGTTCTTTTTATATTAATAATGAAAATTACAAATACAAAAGCTGGAGTACCACATGGATCAGTGTACTGTTAGGCCCCGTTTTCTTTTCAATGTATTCTGTTACATACTCCACGATAAGAGGGTATAAAAAACATAACAGCTGGATACAACAAAATAAGAACTGTGAGTTTCTAGTGTTTGAAAGAAATATTTTTATTATTAATTTGTATATTATACATCTGACATGATCATCATATTAACTCACACGATATATCAGGTAGTTGGTTATATAATATAACAACAGCTGTGTATATAACAGGTTATACAAGAACTAACAACTTACTGAAATCAAATACATCACAGGAAGTAACAGGTTATAATTATTCATTCAGCACCCAGAGAACTATCTACTCTACTTCCTGTCTGTTATCAAACCGAGCTATTTATAGACAGACAGCGTAAGTTTAGTATGATAATTAATCTGTCTAAATCACGTGATACAGCTTTCGGGTATATCTATATATATATTTTACTTTTCATTCAAATATATTAAAGGAGCTTAACTTCTAACTATTTTTTTTATAATATTCGAAATTAAAAACATGAAGTAGAATTCAATATTGGTCCATTTCAATCACTATTGATATTGTTATCTTGCCATAAGAAATATGGGATCTTAATTATAATATCCAATATTTAATACATAATGAACATTTTAAATAAGACTAATTTTGAAATCATTGTATATATACATTCATATTACTTTGATGTGTGCTTTTAGACCCATTTTGTCCTAATTCAAGGTTCAAATGATAAATATCTTACAGACTCTGTGGATAAATATATATATAAAGCTAAAAATATATTTAAAATTTGGATAAAAATGGTTATGTTGTTGATTTCTTCTTAAAGATGTATTATGTAAGATTTAGATAAAAAAAAACTGGACTTTCTTGATATACCAGTTGATAAATAGATAATATTGAAAATATCATTCAAATTACTTTATTCTGAGCAAAGTTATGACTACTTGAAGTTGAAGCATTGAGAATTTAATACCGTAGCAGCAGTACTTGACAATCAAGACTAAGTCACGATTATCCAGCCTGGATACCTCAGTTATCATATGATCATGGTGTCCAGCTGAATTACTTATTTTTATAAATTTTTAAATTTTAGATTGGCTTTTATGTAGGTTGAAAAAGAGATTTTATTCAACATATTACGTAATTAACATCAAAGGTCTTATTCACAAAAATTTAAACTAAAATATTTCAAGAATGGTGGCTTTTTTATTGGCGAAAAGATCAAATTTGTACTATGATTTCAAATCTCAACCAATGAAATTGTTGCATCCCTCAAATAATTTAAGTTTTTGTGAATAAGGTCCAAAATTTTAACAAAATTGAAATTATCGAATTTACATTTGTATTCTGGCCCCTAAAAACATAATTTATTAATAACATTTATTTTAGGCAAATGAATGTAATACATAGTCTCTATCATTCAGATTGTTCTGGGTATCCAAGACTATCTACAACATGGCTGACAATTGTGTCCCTTTAAAATGGCTACTTTAAAATCACTGCATGAAAATAAAACATTAATTCAAAATAATTTTTTAAAAAAAAACCCTAAGTTTTGGAATTTAAGTTTATAAAATTTCAATATGATTATTAAAATTTATAAAACTTTTGGTAAATACAAATAAAATAGGATTTAAAATTGTATTGTATATATATAAACAGAACAGTGTCTAGTCGTTCGGGATGGGATGAAAGATCCAGGTACCGTTTACACGATGGGCAGCACGTAAACTAAAACAGGATTTACAACTGTCTTTATATAGACCGAACGATGTCTAGTCGTTCAGGATCAAATGAAAGACCTAGGTCCCGTTTACACGATGGGCAGCAAGTAAGCTAAAAGAACCATTAACAGTCAGAAATTGAAATAAAGCGTAGGTCGTAGTGCCACTGTCCAGGTAAAATTCCCCTCATAGCGCACTGTACGATGTATGATTGTATGCTTGAATATACAAAACAGTGGTTTTAAACAATTTGTCCTCACAGCCTCTAAGTCTTTCTTATTCGCACTATATAATCTTAAACATCCATCATCATCCTCGACTTTCCTCGTCTGTGTTTAAATCACACGTCCGTCTTATTCTGGACGGGAGGGTAGAGAAATGGAGGGAGGGAATAGCCCAAGACCTGTCAAGACCCCTCTTAAAGTCTACATCTGACACTGGCTACTGGTGGATAGTGGGATATATTGACGACTCCGAAGCATTATTTGTCGCATTATTTGTTTCTTTTTCTTTATATAATATAACACTGTTCTGTTAATAAATTATTTACAAGAACTTATCCTCGTGCTTCCCTTGTGGACTAGTTCTAATGTAGACTGAAATACTAAATCAACCAGTGTTGCTTTCGATTCGGCCATAATCAATTCAAACATGTCTTGTACCGCCTAAACATACAAGTACATACACATCTATTTAACACACAGTCGTCTTTATATTATATATTATAGTTGACATACTTATTCAACCAGGATGTTACTCAAATATCTGTTTTATTTTTACACATGTGACGGCGTTAAGGAGTATAATAGGTCTGTCTATTCATTTTATTCGTGCTAACCAGTGAGGTGTTACACAGAAATAGAAGATGTTAATACAACCCCCCTTCACGCTAGGTTCCCACTATCAAGCTTCGCACCAGTAAAACGCGTTTGCGACCGTCAAACTTTCCCAATTTCCCTCTTTGGGTGGGTGGGTGTGGGGGGGGGGGGGCTATACGTCGTCTGTAACCCGAAAAACTTTTGGGCATTTCAGGTCCCCCCCCCCTAACACTGATCGAGCCCGTACGCCTATGCTAATAAGTAAACGTCAACTGACATATGATCTAATCGGGTTATACAAATAGTATCACGTGACACCTATTTACCCAAACATTATATGTTGTTCAGACATCTTGTAAAATATATCTAGATCTTTGGTAACGTGTTTAATCAACGGATGTTTTCTAAAATGGATTTATAACGGCAATTATTTATCATTCTGATTTCCTGGGATTTTAAGATGGCTTCTAAATATACCTGTTCTATTTGTTTAAATAACTTTACCAAACCCAAGCTACTGCCATGTTGTCACCACACTTTCTGTGAACATTGTATAGGTGACTACATCAAGGCTCATGCTCATTTGAACAAGTTTAACTGTCCTATTTGTAGACAAGAAACAGTAGTACCATCAGGTGGTGCCAATCAGTTCGTCACCAACTTTTATCTAGAAGACGATGATGATGATAAACAGTATTGTACAAAACACAAGAAGAAAGAAATAGAAGTTTATTGTCGAGATTGTCGTAAACCATGTTGTTCTGTTTGTGTTATGGTCGATCATAAAGACCACGAATTGGCAGATTTAGATGAAGTAGACCAGGAGATGAGAGAAATTGTCATGAAACTGAAAACTGAATCAGAAAAGAAGATAAAACAGTTACAAGAACATTCTTACTTTCTGAAGACCAAAATATCTGACATGAACAAATCATGTAAGACAGCTTGTGATAAAGTTGATAAACAAATAGACAATATTTGTGAAAAAGCCAGGAAGATGGGAGGAACAATTAAAGATGACATCAATAAAATTGGTGAAGATGAAAACAGTAAACTAACCAAACTAGTAGAAGATGATGACAAGATGACATCTAAAATGAAAGAATGGTGTGAATATGCTGATCGTATATTACAACATAAATCTATAATTACAGCCGTAGATAAACATGGATTAACAGATGTTCAAACCAAAACAAATTACAAGATATCAACAAATTTACATAAACCTGTAGTCAGACACCTATATTATTCTATGGAGGAGGTTGATGTAGACTGTTTAAAACGACTACTGGGTGAAGTACAAACACCACCATCATATACCAGTAGTTTTAGTTTGAATCAGTTGAAGCCAGATGGGGACTACAAAAGTGATGTTGTAATAAGACAAGGATTATCATGGTGTGTATGTGTTGAACATGAAAGATCATCATTATATATTGAGCTGGTATTGAAGAAAGTAGAAGATGAAACTATTAAATCTGTTACAGGTAGTTATACACTAAAACTGTTAAATATCAATGATGAGAGTGAATCACTAGTTGAACAAGGTACATGTACATGTAAACCTGGTGATAATATATTTTGTGTATTATATATAGACTGGGATAAACTACAAGATATAAACAATGGTTTTATTGATGATGACAAGATATTTACTGTAGAGGTTACTGTTAATATAACTGATGTAGAACGATAGTGAAGACATATAATAAACAATAACAGTTATAGTTATATAATAAACATTAGCCTACATTCATAAACAATAATAGGATAAACTACAGAATGTCAACAAACATAATTTTTGTAAGGTATATATTATCGAAATGTTCCCTCTAAATTTTAGTAATTAGTGAGCGCACACATCATGTGGTGTGCAAATTTCATTTTGTGGCAACAATACGTGGACAATATATGTACAAACATGCGGAACTCTTTTGTTTTTGTTGTGATTCGCGATATCTGAGATCTTGAATTATTTGTTCTGTATGTCCTAAATGTTTTACGCTTGGTTCAACACGCGTGTGTCGATGGCCAGGTGGGAACAATGTACATAACTATAAGTGTCGTGTACAAGGCAGGATATACTTAGTCTGTCTAGAACATTTGATATCACTTCTCGTGGAGTAAACTTAGTAAGTTCTACATCTGACTATTGAATATCTTTATCTAGCTTTAAATTATTATTAAGCATCTATTCACATGGCAAGAATATAATCATCCGATGGCCATGATATTGGATGAATTAGAACAATCCCGGCATCTGACATTTCATCGTTTTAGTTTAAATGGATAATCTAGACTTTGTTTATTATGGTAGCAATTGTGCTTGACAATCGAGACTATCTATTAAAAACTTCAAACACTCGTAACTCTTTATTTTGTGCAAGGACAGTCATATGTTTATATAAATCTTAAATAAAGCACCTTCACCCGGATTACATTGGTATATATTATCTAAATCTACTCCGTTATGGTAGAATTAATTGTTCATATTAATTGTTTGTATCATATATTAATAAAATATTTTAATTTTGTTATATATTGTTCTACCCCACCCAACCCTTCATCACTCAAATGTAAGGGTCAATTGGCCTCGCTCAGTATGGCAACTTGTAATACTATAGGGGTTATTTTAGTTCTATGAAACGTGCTCTGTTTAATATATTGAAGTGGTTAAACAAATGGGTGACAACGACAAATAGGCTACGTAGGTATTTTGCAAGATTCAAGAATCTTAAACTAAGGCACGGACATTTTCTGCCACCATCAATTGCTGAAAGTAGGGTACTATCGTCCAGTCATTTCGTGCACCGATTGGTCCAATTAAATAGAATAATGTGAGGCTGTGAGAGGATATACTGATAATTCAAAATTAATTGAATGTCACTAGATAAGGGAAAACGAGAAAATTAGAAATAGTCCGTACATTTCCTTGTTTTTATTCATTCTATACTCAATAAAAATATGGTAATGCACGGACTTTTTCTATTTTTCTCGTATCTAGTAACAGTCAATATTTTTTTTTGAATTGTCAGATATCCTCCCACAATCTCATATAAAAACTTTTGGTTTTCGAAGGAATTATTAGTGAGCAGAAATTGGCCCGTGTATCTGTTATCACTTGTCATTTCAGTTAGTTATATAGCAGGCCCGGCGGAGTCGGGTGGGGGTAAAGCCCCCCCCCCCCAATAATTTGGCCGCAAGTACTCTTTTATCCAGGTTATTGTGACCCCTGGACCCACGCCTATAAGGACCTAGGATGGAAGCCCCCCCCCCCCCCAATCAAGAATAGCTTCCGCCGGCCCTGTATAGAAGGATAACTCGTGTTTTCCTTTTGAGTTCGTCACTTCCCTTTCTACAAAGCTTCATAACGCATCTATCGTAGCAATGATCTCTGTGTTAAAATTATATTTGGAACGTGTTTAACCAGTTCTATCACATACTATGTGATAATGACTGACAACAATATTGTCCTTTAAGGGATTCCAGAAACTGTCCAAGTATATCTAATACTTTACCATGAGTGACCAATCAGTCTTATACCGGAATTCATATCATCAATCCCACCCCACCCACCTAACCCTTATTCTAAAAAACACCCCACGCAAGAGAGGGATGGGTTTAACGTCCACTCGACACAAACCAGGTCATTTAGGGACTAACATATGGTTCTATTTTATTTCAATAATTCGCTTGCACGTAGACCCTATGGGTCTTTAGCAGTGGGAGGAATCCGGAGGACCCGGAGAAACCCCACGAATTTGAACTGTCGACCCAACTCCTTGTCACGTACAACCGAAAATCAAAACCACGCCAGTTGACATACACAATGGCATACCTTGTGATACAGTGCGCACGCGCTAACCATAAAATTAAACCATATGTTAGTCCCAAAATAACCCAGTTTGTGTGTGTATGGGTGTGTGTGGGTGTGTGTGGGTGTGCGTTTGTGGATGATCATTATCTAGGACACACATCAGCATTATTAATTAACCTTCTAAAAGAGGACCTAAATAAGAACATGCCTTCAAATTGAGGACATGGCTGATACGTCATACAGTGTGCTATGAAGAAAATTTTGCCCGGACAGCGGCCTAAGGCCTGCTCCTATTTAGGATTTCAAATGGCAACTACGCCAATGTGTATATGATACCTTTTTTGGTACGATACGAGCGACTAGACACTACCCCACCCCCACTCGTCCTGCAGAACTGACACAGGGGGAAACTAAACCACAAAATTCAGAGGACCTTTCACGGCTAACACTGGGATCAAACACGGATCTAAGTGCTAGCGAGCAAGTGTCATAGATTCTTACAATCACCAGATAAGTAGGACTACCATGAACCTTTTCACGTGAGATATATTATGAATTACTCTATAATACATTTCTTGTTTCTATTGAGTTGTTTAGCAGACATAACACGTGACAACAACATGTTGAGACGACTATAGAATACGAATACTCAATGTTTAATAATACAAAGATAATTTCAAATTAATTGCCAACCCTTTCACAATATTTGTAAGAAATATCCTACACGGGGTGTTAACCTGTTCATATACCAATTCAATAAAACATATAATAAGATATGTGTTGAATTTATTCATTAGTTACAATTTATTACGTTGTTCATTTATTTTTTACACTACAATTCAAGAGATCAACAAGTTTCACTTTTACACATTCATCAACACACGTAGACCTTAAAGTATTTATCAAATACATGTATAAACATATCTTAAACTAGAGTCTTAGTCCGGAGGCTAAAGGCGGGGAGGGGGGAGGGAATCGCCACCCGAGCTGTGAATTTATGAGACCAAGTTTTTCTAGACCAGTTTTTTGCGTAGATTCCGAATCTGGGTGGTGATCAGGCGTTTGAGGGGGCGTTTTCGAGATATAGGGGGTCGAATGTCTACAATGGGAGGGGGGGGAAATGTCATTATGTTGACGTAATATATTAATAAAACATAAATTTCTAAGACTGCCCATCTATAAATAAGTGTTTATGATGCCCCTGGACAAATGTTTTGAATTGTGGGGAGGTGGGGTGGGGATAGCAGGTGTGTGTGTGTGTGGGGGGGGGGAGGTCATTATGTTGACATAATATATTAATAAAACATAAATTTCTAGGACTGCCCAGCTATAAATAAAAGTGTTTATGGTGCCCCTGGACAACTATTTTGATTTGTGGGGAGGTGGGGTGGGGGTAGCAGGTGTGCGTGTATGGATGGGGGGGGGGTACAATTGGCGGGAAGTGAGTTCACGTTGATGATTTTCTTAGAGCTTGTAGGAAACTGAGGTCTCGTGTACATATTGACTTGCACGTAAAACAAACCTTGACAGATGGAATTTGAAATACGAGTAGGCCGTAGTGCCGCTGTCCGGGCAAAATATCCCTTATAGCACATGACGTATGCCCGCCTTCATTAGCCCAATCGGTGCAGAACAATAGGACATTTAACTCCATTTCATTTCATTTCAATTTTAGATGTGTTTATATGTGATAAAAACCTGTCGTTTACAACATCAACAAGTGCATCGCTAACGCTGCAATATACGTCCAAATTCTTGCTTTGATTGATATGGTACTTTTTAAAATGTAGAGAATGAAATATGAAATGGCTGTAATATGACAAGAATGCAAAAAGAGGCTAGACGTTGTTTTTGTTTAGCCAAATTTTACAGAAAAAAATATTAACAAAAAAGTGGGTGTGACACCGCCCCAGGGGGTCGGGGCATGCACCAAAATAAGCAGTTTCTGTCTTTACGGTATAAGGAATAAATATGCAAAGTTCCAAGATGATCCATTCAGAATTGCAGCCTGTAGACGATAAATACAAAAAATTGGGCGTGGCTCTGCCCCTGGGGGTTGGATATGGAACAATAAAAATAGGTACCACCCTGTTATTGAAATGATTGATATGCTGAATTGAAACAAAATATGTTAATTATTTCAACCTGTGTTGACAGATAAAAAGTAACAAAAATGTGGGTGCGATACCACATCCCTGGGGGTCGGGACATGCACCAAAATAAATAGTTGCTATCCTTACATATCTCCATAAATATGGCGGGCATGCACCAAAAAATAGGTCAGCCTTAGCGTATAAGGAAAACGTATGAAAAGTTTTCAAGACGATCGATTAAGAATTGCGGCCTTTAAGTGACACACACACAAAAAGAAAATGGGCGTGACTCTGCCCCTGTTGGTTGGGCATTCATCACAAACAATAGGGATGTAGACGACAAACAAACAAATACAAGAAATGGGCGTGGCTCTGTCCCTGGGGGTTGGGCATGCACCAAAAACAATATGGATCATCCTTAGGGTATAAGGAATAAATATGAACATTTTTCAAGACGATTGATTAAGAATTGTGGCATGTAGGCGACACACAAAAAGAAAATGGGCGAGGCTCTACCCCTGGGGGGTGGACATACACCACAAACAGTAGGGGTGTACCTTATGCAAATTTTCAAGAAGATACGTTATGAAATGCGGCCTGTAGACGACAAACAAATACAAGAAATGGGTGTGGCTCTGCCCCTGGGGGTCGGGCATGTACCAAAACAATAGGGATCATCCTCTTGGTATAAGGAATAAGTATGTAAAGTTTCAAGACAACACTTAAGAATTGCGGCCTGTCGGCGACTCACAGACACACATACAGAAAACCCTATTGTTATTATAATAACCTGACCCCTATAATACTTACCCCCCCCCCCACCTCCACAACAAGAAAAAGATGACCAGTCCCTGGTCCAAAAATCAAGTAAAACTGGTTCTTTTTATATTAATAATGAAAATTACAAATACAAAAGCTGGAGTACCACATGGATCAGTGTACTGTTAGGCCCCGTTTTCTTTTCAATGTATTCTGTTACATACTCCATGATAAGAGGGTATAAAAAACATAACAGCTGGATACAACAAAATAAGAACTGTGAGTTTCTAGTGTTTGAAAGAAATATTTTTATTATTAATTTGTATATTATACATCTGACATGATCATCATATTAACTCACACGATATATCAGGTAGTTGGTTATATAATATAACAACAGCTGTGTATATAACAGGTTATACAAGAACTAACAACTTACTGAAATCAAATACATCACAGGAAGTAACAGGTTATAATTATTCATTCAGCACCCAGAGAACTATCTACTCTACTTCCTGTCTGTTATCAAACCGAGCTATTTATAGACAGACAGCGTAAGTTTAGTATGATAATTAATCTGTCTAAATCACGTGATATAGCTTCCGGGTATATCTATATATATATATTTTACTTTTCATTCAAATATATTAAAGGAGCTTAACCTCTAACTATTTTTTTTATAATATTCGAAATTAAAAACATGAAGTAGAATTCAATATTGGTCCATTTCAATCACTATTGATATTGTTATCTTGCCATAAGAAATATGGGATCTTAATTATAATATCCAATATTTAATACATAATGAACATTTTAAATAAGACTAATTTTGAAATCATTGTATATATACATTCATAT